CTGTTATGGTCAGCTACTGGTTCAAGTATGCAATAGGTTTCTGGGCTCCTGCTGGAGGCTTAATGACTGTTGTTTGTGGTTGAATGGACTCTCAAGCCTTTCTGTTTTGTGTTATATGGTTGTTTTGGAGTGTTCCATCCAGAACACACTCCAATTGGAAGCTGAGAACAAGACTTGTAAGGATAGAGGCAAGCTGATATCACAGGCATTGTTGGATTATCCCTGGCCATTTATAGCAAGTTGTGGTGCTCATGCTGCAGTGCAGAGGCCTGCTGAGTGTAGGAGTGACTGATGGTCTGCTTCTTCCTAGTCTGGTATACTGTTTGGATGCTCCAGCAGAGGGTTTATTGCTGTGTTTGTGTAATATTTTGGCTGGGTTTTGTGTTTTTCTTTGTTGGTTTTGGCTTGTTTTGGATTTTGGTTGTTTATTTTTTGGTTTTGGTTTGGGTTTGTTGATTGTGGTTGGCTTCTCACCAACTCACCATCTCTTGGCGGTGTGCTAGCATATGATTGGGCGTTCTCAACAGTGCCAACCTCGTTGGGATTGTTTTGTTTCGCTATGATGCTCTTTGCACTCCCTCTCCCCTTCCCCTTCTTCTTTATTGATGTATTTCTATTTTCGTTTTCATCAATATAGTTCCTTTTTCTTCGCTGATCAAAAAAAAAAAAGGATAAAGATGTAAGATAAATTGTGTTTATTTATATATTAATGTATTGGTATTAAATTAATTAATCATAATTAAATTTATGAATTTATGGAGAAGATTTGTTTTGGAATTTTAATTTTGTAAAAAAAATAATAATAATAATTTCTGTATAATGACTTTTTATCTTTTGAACTAAAATATAAAGTTTGCAAAATAGACTATGCAAATTATTTTTGTAAAATGAAGATAAAATAGTTTGTAGCCATCTAATTTCATGTGAGAGACAACAAAAATCTTCTGATCTTTCATCAGGTGATGTTGTGATATCAAACATACGAAATGAAAGTTGTATTTGGGTCAGCTTCGTGTGGGAGATGGTTCACAATCTCCCACTTCACCCAACCCCATTTTCAGAACTAGAGTTGGGATTAGGTTTTTTTTTTTTTTTTCCAATTATTTTTCTTTTCACAAATTTTCATATATTTATATAATAAAATCAATATGGGTTAAAGACATTCTAATAAAAATAATGTTGTTGTAATTTGGGGATGAACCAATGCATCTTCTCCTCTCCTTTCTCCAGTCTCCAATAACCATGTATGTACAGGTATGTTCCTCTTTCTCTCTTAATTGGGTTGCTTTTCTTTTCTCCATTTGGCTGTATTGGGGGGATAATGGGTATCCAGATCATTAAGCAAATTTATTGAATTTAGAAATCAAGTTTCATTGGATTAATGTAGTCTCTGTGCTGTTAATGAAATTTTGACTGATAAATGAGTGTTCATTATTTCATTCATTTGGTTTGTTTTTAGTTTACTGAAGATGAGGATGAAAATTACCCTATTTTAAATACTTTGTTTTCAGTTCCCTGAAATGTGCAATCTGTTTTGAACTCCCTCCTTTTGCTTTCTTACAGATTGCATCAAAGTGCTTTAAACCAATTTGCTATCGGTAGTATTTGTCGATTTCTGTGGGAGTGTGTCTTTTTGTTATTCAAAAACAAAGATATTGTTTGTTTTTTTTTCCTTTTCATGGTATCAGAATCCACTGGCATTGAATGCTCTTCCTTCTAATTTTTCTTGAGATTCAACTAATACAATGGAGACTTCTGAGGCACAAATGAGCTTACTATATTTTCCTAATTACTGACTGTTCTACGGATTGATTATTGACAAAAGCTGAGGCGTAAGAGAGCAGGCGGGCTCATCAGAAGACAACCACTAAAGTGGACTGATTTCTATGAATTTGGTGCATAAACCGACGAATAAAGAATGTGGATGATAAAATTTCTCAAGATGTGGATGACAAAATTGCCCAAGTGTTATGTGATTGTTGTTTTAACCTTCATTTGCACTTGCGTATGCTACATTGAACGTGTGGGCTTCTCAATTGCATATACCATTGGTGCAGATGCTGCAGGGGTGAACCAGTCAAACAAAGGCACGATACTTTCAACATTCTATTATGGTTATGCCAGTTCACAGGTACCCGGTGGATGGATAGCTCAGAAAATAGGAGGAAGGCGTGTTCTCCTCCTCTCATTCGTATTATCGACTCTCACTTGTGCTTTAGTACCACTAGACCCAAACCGAGTCATAATTTTGGTGATGGCTCGTTTACTCGTAGGTGTGGCACAAGGGTTCATCTTCCCGTCCATCCACAACGTGCTAGCTCAATGGATCCCACCTCATGAACGGTCAAGATCTGTTTCTTGCACAACATCTGGAATGTATCTAGGTGCAGCATTGGGAATGCTTGTGCTTCCAATATTGGTTGAATTCTGGGGTGCACAATCTGTATTTCATGTTGAATCTGCTTTGGGGGCAATGTGGTGTTAGAACAATCTTTTGTGTAAATAAAATAAATTGAAATAAATCAAACAAAATAAATAAATAACGTACCGAATTTATTTATCGAACTGAATTAAAAATAAAAGACCAAGTCGAGTGTGTGACACTCTGTCCTTAAGACAGATTCGCCCCGCTACGATGCTTACGGTTATGTGGCGTCTATCTCCCAAGATACAATGATCTTAACCAATTTGTAGTAACACTCCAAAACAAATTGTTCGGCGAACCAAAACTGTGTTCTAACTCACTTAATATTTATTTTAAAACTAATATGAAGAATATATGCACTAGATGAGAATTGGACAACAAAAGACAATTTTCAAATTGTTTTTTTGGATCCAAAGACTGCTGGAAATGTGGTATGTATTTGTAGCCCAGTTGGTGACCTTTCAAACTTACCCGAACAGGTATTTTTTGAAAAGAATAGGTGCACCACTATTCAAACATGGTTTGACCGTTGCAAAATTTCAAACAAATTTTCAACCAAATGAAAAGTGATCCGTTGGATAACAGTTAAAGTAACTGTTGGACCTCTATTCTTTAAACCATTTGAAATATATATATATATATATATATATTAAACTATTTGAATAGTTTAATAAATATATGAAGGGGTACAAAGTTTAGGAAACCACTTAGGAATCTAAAATTTAAATTTAGAATTAAATTAAATTTTCACAATAATTTTTAGTGAAAAAATTCAAATGAATTTTATCTAAAAAATTAATGTTAGACCCGAAAACGACGTCAACTTTCCATTCACTCATAAATGGTTTTGACGTTCCGTCTTCACCGTGTGACTTGTCACGCGACAAGGAACACTTCACCTCTTCAGACCCACCCCAAAAAACGTTTGAGGCTCACTCAAATTTGGGTTAAAAAATATGCCTCTCTTAAACCATTTTTCCAACATGTGGTCTCTACCTTGGCTCAAATTCGCCTCTAACCCACCTCGTGCTGAGCATCCAAACGCAACTGCCGCTGCTTTTGGGGAAACTTCATTGCCAATCAGAGGTCATTCCGTCAAAAGTGCCCAAATCCCGTGAAAGAGGATTGTCCTCAGCTTGCCGGTTTGGGCAATTGTCGTGAATATTTTCACTTTCCATTACGCCTTGTACGTGCTCATGAACTGGCTGCCCACGTATTTCGAACAAGGGCTCCATCTTAGTCTTCGAAAATGGGTTTTTCTAAGTTGATGCGTTATTTTATCATGTTTTTATTGTCAAATACCGGTTGGTTTATTGCTGACCATATGATCACTAGAACAATCTTGTCTGTGATTCAAACCAGAAAGGTCTTGAATACTGTGGGATTTTTAGTGGCTTCTATTGCATTGATGGTACTTCCCCACTTCAGAACATCTGATGGGGCTGTGTATTGTTCTTCTGTGGCTCTTGGTTCTTTAGCGTTAGCGAGAGCCGGGTTTGCAATAAATCACATGGATATTGCTCCGAGGTATGCTGGAATTGTAATAGGAGTTTCTAATACAGCCGGTACATTAGCTGGCGTTATTGGGGTTGATCTTACTGGCAAGCTTCTTGAGGCTGCTGAAACTGCTCATTTGGGACTTTCAAATTCAAAAGTTGGAGACCAGTGTTCTTCATCCCAGGGTTGCTTTGCATCTTTAGTTCTGTTGTATTTTTAATATTCTCAACTGGGATGAGGATTTTTGACTGAGAAAGGTTAATTTTGATGTTTATTGTGACAAAAAATAATTACCATCATCGGGTAGGGAATTTAAGATGAACATTGATGCACATCAATGTTCATAGATTCCTTCGATGCCTTGTCTCGTTCAGTATATATCAACATTCTACAGAGGTGTACATATTCAAGTTCTACAGCCCGAAAAGACCCAAAAATGGTGACCAGCATAGTTGGACTTGGACAGCTATGTGTTAATTAAAGCTCACTCATCCATTTTTCGGATTTGAATACACATTTTTTGTCAAACTTTTGTTTAGCATTAGGTGAAAGTACTTGATCTCAACCTATTTATTTAAGGTAGATAGTTTCAGTACAAAGTGTAATGAATTCAGATGATGTAAAATCTTCTAAGTGCCCCTCTTTTTTTTTGGATAATTGGAAATTCCAAGTATCTAAGTTCCTCGTGTTAATTGTTTTCCTATTTACTTCCCCTAGTTATCATATTTCAGAAATTTGACAGGGACTTTCTTGTTCTCTGGACTGTTTGTTAGCAAATGAATAAACTTCTGTTCTATACTTTTTTGGGGACTTTTTACAAATTGGATCCATTTAAATAATAAACAAAAAAATTAGAGACTTCTAAACTAGAAGCACTTTTTAGGACACAATAGCAAAACAAGTCAGATATAGGGTCAGTTTCCAAGCATATGATCTTTTGGATGCTAAACTGGACATTGAATCATGTCATTGTCCGATGGTTGAAGCAACTTCAGCGTCCTACATATATAAGCCTGCAAAATTACGCTCTGCCATGGATTCAAGCAAATAATCTGGTTGATAAACAGAGCTCTAGTGATTCTCAGAAATGGCATATATATATAACCACCTCAATTACATCATTCTTCAATAGTAATACATGAGAATGGAACACTGGCTATACACATATATCAAATTATCCAATGTACAAGTGTAGAACTATAGTGTAAAAACTCTCAAAACTTGTTTGTAATTCCTATGCTGACATATGTACTGTTAATGGCAGCCTCAAACAGGTTTTCCCCCTGAAGTTATTCAATTTCCGCATGTACATAATCAACAAACACAAAATTCTTCTCAAGTTCATGGAAAGCGTAAGCCAACGCAGCACTTACAATTGCAACTCCACCCAAAATAATCCGCAACTGCATATTTGAAGGGATCCCAGCAGTTGCAGAGCAGAAAACAAATGAGCCGATTAAGAACTTTTGTAATGTCTGGAATGTCGTATAAGCTCTTCTACACGATGAACACTTCAGAGTGTGTTGCTCATATCTATCCAACATCTGTGATGCCAAAATGCAACAATTTGAGCACAAATTTTGGAACCAAAAGTCTTGATGAGTGTTGTTCAGTATTTCAATGAATTCACAAATAAAATGCTAGTTATGAATGTTTTAAAATGTTCAGGGACGAATTAATAGGTAAATTTGAATTACATAATCAGGAAAAGAAGAAAGCAAAAGGAAAAGGAAGGTTTGAAGCTAAGGATGTTAGAACTAACCTCAGTTAATAGTCTTATTTTTCTTATTCTCATCCTTCTTGTTTGCTCAATTGCTTTAACTCTATTTCAAACATGATTCAGGAGAGGAGGCTTCATTTGATTTGGTTATCCCCTACTTCTTAGCAACATTTTTTCTTATTTTAATTATTGGCCCTTATTTTATTTATTTAAACTAGCGTCAAAATCTAAGATGTGTTTCATGTGTGTCTAATGTCCTAGGTGTCTCCTGTTTCAACAACAAAACAAAAAAAAGTAGAAAAAATGATAACACCATTGGTGGTTTTAGTGTGCAACCCCTTGAACAAACTAAATGTGTTCAAAGGGCTTTGATAATTGCACCTCATGGTTTAATTGCAATGGCGAGTCACGAATCCTGGCAACTGAATTGGATCTGATACCTGACGTTTGGATAGGACTGCAGATGGCAATGGTTGTTGGTCAGTGATGAAAAACCACTCAGGTTGGTTATTGCCATGTCGCCTCAGCCAATTCCTAAATGCCAAGACAAAACGATCAGCTTGTGTGGGTGTAAATGTAATTTTGGTATACTCCTTGTTGACATCCATAGAACCCTCCTTTGACTTTGAAAGGAAGATCTTTTCTTGACCTTGAAGCACAATCATGTCCCCATCATATACCTTGTTCGAAGTCCAATGCTCATGCCATCTAGGAACCACCTGTCAAAACCATAAAGTCATGTAAGAGTAGTCCATCTATTTAAGGAAAGAAAATTGATTTCCAATCTCCTCAAAACGAAGTAGCAGAGCTTCAATTTTCAAGCACAAGGAAAGTTTGCCAAGATATCTCAGGAAATTTGGAGTAATGAAAGAGAGAGAACAAAAATGCTTCTTTATATTGACAGACAAGAAGGGATACTTCCGATTTCACACCCCAAACAAAATCTTAGCCCTCAATGGTTCAACAAAACCTAGAGAATATAAATGTAATTCAAGCCTAAGAACAAGATAATTGCAGAACCTTAACCGAACCAAAGTACGTGGAATCAAATAAGAACTTTCTTCAAGATGTGCTGTATTATGCTAATAGCCTAAAGAATAGATGTGCAACATAAAGTTATCTTGTTCCCCACAAAGATTTGCCCACCATCTACATTTGGCTAATAATTTGCAGTACTTTTTTTTTTACAGTACATATTATCATTACAGCATGAAAATAATAATAACAACACTAATCCTTAGGCAGGTAATAACCCGGATCCCTCCCACACACACATACAATTGAAAATGAAAATGAAAGGAAAAATAAATAAATAAATAAGCTTGTCCTTTTGTACACACTGCCAAATTAGAACAGTCATCAGACGGAAGGATGAGAATTTAACTTGTGAGAGAGAGAGAGAGATGTCTAATGACTTTCTAGGGTATAATGGTTCTTTCAAATTTATATTGTTCAATTTAACACAGTACAATTTCCCACGGACATAAATCTTTCATTACATGACCAACAAATAGAGACTGAAGATTATATCATAATGAAGAGAAAGACCCACTTGTCTGATCTAAACAATACACCTATGCAGTTTTTTCAATTTTAGTACAACATCTTAAGGAACAAATAAAAGTCTTTACCTGCCACCATGCAGGACCAGGCATTGTGAACTGGAAGAAATTTCGGGCACTACAAACAATTGAACGGGTCTTTCCAGGTACCATTGGCACATTGAAGGAACAAATCCATATTACCCATTTTTGATCACCCACAATAGGAAGCTTCGTGTCAATCTCTATTCTGAAAAGACAACAAAAAATTAGAAGATTGACCAACACAAGCATGAGCAAATGCATAAAAGGCCACCAGCCCTCACAACAACCCAACATCAAATACGAAAATCCTTCAAATAATAGATAGCAAACAAAAACTTAAGTTCCCAGATGGAACAAAAATTTAGGCCTCGTTTGAGAACATGCTAATTTAGTAACTTTTTGGCTATTTGGCTAAAATATGTGCTAAAAAAAACTAGTATGTTTGTGATAACTTTTTGACTTTTTACGAAAAGATGTGCAAAAAGTAGAGAGAAAAGATAATCTTTGACTTTTTGGTATGAGTTATTGGCTTTTTTAGTAACTTTTTGGCTTTTTTAGTTACTTTTTGGCTAAACCGGCCTGTTGCCAAACGAGGCCTTAAAATTTGTTCCAAATAAATTGAAATTAGAATACTTATGTTAGTAGCTTTCACAAGTAAGTTAGGATGCTTTGGGCTTTCCTTGTTCTGTGGCTGACTTGCTTCATTTTTGGAGAGGCAAAATCCCAAGTAGAAGGAAGACTGGGACTGCAGCTCCCCTTCATTCAGCAAGAGGCTGATCCTTTGAAGGTGTGCAAGAGTGGAGAGCCAGCATCCTAAAACAAGCAATTTTTTGAGAATTCTATTCTGTTGGGTGATGGGTGATGAGTGATGGGAAGGGTTAAACCCTCACTTGACTTTTTGGGTATCTTAGAGAATTTGCAATCATGCATTGCAGTACAGAAGTTTTTTACAAATGAGTTTTTTATGTTCGATTTTTGCCCTTTGTATATATAGGTTGCTGGTTGCACTACCTGTTACGATAGTAATAAAGTATCAGAACTTGTTAGAGGGGCCAAAAAATTAAAGCCTCCATCTAACCGAAGGCATGCTCAACTCTGACAATTAAATTTGGCCATTAGACAAAATTCACAAGCTGAAGAGCAGCAGGACACGTGCACAAGTTATACTACTTATCTGGAAGTTATGAACTTACTTATTTATGTAATAACAAGGTGCGATGAATTCAGCACTGATTTTTGGGTTATCATCATTTGATCCAGCAAAGCCCCCGTGGCCAGTAGACTCCATCTTGAAGGGCAAAGGCTTGGCTCTATCCCTTCTTCCTGTGACCTGTAAAATGATTCAGCAAAGCATCAGCAGACAGTAGCCATAGCTTCTGATTATGTAGTAGCTAAGCATGTGCAAATAAGTCAGCTTCCAAAAAAAAGTTCCTACGGACTTCATTCCTTGTTGAGTAACACACATGTAATTTGCAACAACACTGATGAATGAATAATTGAATTCCCCTAACTCCATGAATCTCCAAGGCAATGAAGAACCAGAGCATATGTAGTTGTGTAGCAAGGGATTGCAATATATACAGTAGGAACATCTTGACAAGGGCACTCTTTGGACAGAAATGTAAATCTAGGCACGAGCATATGCAACTATGTTTCAAGAAACTATAAAGAATTTATCCATCACTCAGTTTCTAAGGAATATAGATATATTAAAACACACATCTCTTAATTGTTACGCTGAGATCACCTAAAATTATTGGGTGATGAGACCCTCACTTATACAAGACCCTCAAAACCCCAAGCAATCTCTCACAAATATTTCACAAGGTGATTCCAAAAAAAACAGAAGTTGGAGATCGACATGTAACAACAGCGTTCTAGAATTACTTTGCCACGTTCCATCTCAACTTGGAGATATTATGATATCTAGACTCATTGATTTGTCTTACTGTGTGAAGGTTTCAATGGTACACCAGCATTTTTGCAGTTATGTCATACTATTGAGATCTACAGCATTCCTCCCAACAGGCATCAGCCCTGAAATATTATAGATCTAACATTCTAGATATAAAATTTAACAGAAAACATTTATTAGGTGAACTGTTAATTTCATGCACTTGATTGTGCTATGTCGGAAGAATAGTTTTGTCTCCCTCATGCTGTCCAGACATGATAAGAATTTGTTGATTAACAGCAAACATATAGAGCTGCAATGGTGCAATTCACCTAAAATATATTGCACGTATCAATGTTGTCTATGTATCTTGGAATGACCTTAGAATCAAAACATTACCAATCTTTCGTTGCTGATCCAAAATAAAATAAAATATTGAAACTACTGATCACTTCACCATTTACTACTGTGAGCGCGCTCGTTTCTACTCATGGAGCATTTAACAGTCTTTTATAATATCTGAGAAATATCATTAACTACCTAAGTGCCGCCCACCTAGCATTAGAAAATTGTATCTCTTTCCAACTTCACTAATATTTGGAATTTAATAACCCTAATAAACATGAATAAGGACAGCGCTCCTAAAGTTTTGGTTCATGTTTGTGATCAGATACAAAGCCAAATTGCTTAGATACAAGAATTTTCACCTTGTGATGAGCAAAATCGATGTGGGAAGGATCAGAGACATTCTCCATGAGGGTATCATAGCCATAGAACAAATCGCGCTGAATCGTCACTGTTGAAAACTCGGGCTTCTCAAAGTCATTGGGCAACCTAAACAATCCCCACAAAGAACAAAAGCACATCAATAAAATATTGAAAAACCCATATTCCTATTCAGCTTTTTTAAATTAACAAACATATAAATTATACATTATTTAAATATATGCATATAAATAAGGAGACATATAATAACAGAAAAGAGAATTTACATGGGGGGTTTGGTGGCTTGAGCTCTCTCCCAGCCATTCTCATCTGGCCAAACAAAGAGCAGACCCTGAGACACCATAGTCGGAAACCTAGTCGCACACGCTCTCGGAGATCGAACAGCTCGAGCTTCAGGCCCCTCTGACGAGGCCTGAGGGATTCGAGTACAAGATCCACAACCATCAAAAGACCAGCCGTGATACGAACACTGCAAGTGCCCATTTTCATCTATCCTACCTTCCTAAAAAAACACCAAAAACCCATCATCAAAATCCCCAAAATTAATCCAAAAATTCCCTAAATTTATCAAATTGGAGGCCTTACAGAGAGAGGAGCGAGACGATGGGGGCATTTGTCGTCGAAAGCGGCCCATTGGGAGGAAGATCGATCGAACCAGAGGACGAGGTCGCGATTGAGGAGCTGAAATGGGGTTGGGATGCGAGGGTCGAGATCTTGGACTAGAGAGACAGGGTACCAATGGTCTCTCCAAGAGAACTTAGAGGAAGAGCTCTCTTCATGATCTTGGGTCTCGATTTCTACTCCGTCGGAGAGAGATTGGGATTGTTCTTCGGCGGCGGTGGTTGGAGGCGGAGCAGCTACGCGGAGAGGAGAGAGAAGTGACCTCCTCCGAGGCGTTGGAGGGAGGAATGAGGATTTGGAGGGATGAAGAGAGAGAAGAGTTGGGAGAAGAGTGGTTGTTGATGGTGAAATAGGTGTAGTTGAGAGTAGTGAAGCCATTGATTCAGCTTGGTGTTCGATTCTCGATATTGGAATTGAAATGTGTGTATGATATGATTGAGAGTGAATTTGAGCAGACCTACACAGACAGAGAGAGAGAGAGAGAGAGAGTAGTTTGCGTGCAAGTTTGCAATGGTAGTATCTGTGATTCTGGAAGAATCCAAGACGGTGACAAACCAGACAAAGCGAAGTTGAAGAAGGAAGAAGTCCGGACCCAGAGAATGTGCGTCACTAATTGGACTCCAAAAAAAATAAAAGAAAAATGCTGAGGCTCGTTTGTTTAGAAAAAAAACGACAATGTTACGTAACTCAAATTTTATGGTTCAAAAGTGACTCAAATGACCAAAACGATATCGTTTTGAGTACAAAACAACATAAAAATGGCCAAAACGACGTCGTTTTGGCCATTTGAGCCACTTTTGAACCACAAAATTTGAGCTACGAAACATTTTTCAAAAAAAAAAATAAAAATAAGAGAAAAGAAATAAAAGTTTATTTTCTTATGTATGTTTGAATAGATGAGATATTTTATAATAAAATAATAGAAAATAAATATAATCATGGTATAATAGGGAGTAGAGAAATATAGATAAAAAATAAAATAAAATAATTTTTGTCAAGATTTGTGAAAAAATAAATTTTTATGTATATTTTGTATGAAATTGTTAGCCCGTACAGAAAATTTTAATTTTTATTGTTTTTTAAGACTGTATTTAAACAAATACATAAAAAATTATATTTTTTTCTTTTTCTTTCACTTTCTTATATTATCTAACTAATCAAATTGAGCTTAAGGACGTCAACATTTTTATAAAAATTTTATCAAATGCCTCATATAGGTGTAGGTCTCACACTTATTACCAAATGTTTTACTTGGGTTTGTGAAATCTAAATTCATGTGAGACATTTGGTAAAACATTTAAGAAAAATACTATGATACAAACATGTATTTTATAACTCAAGAAGAAAATGATATAATTTTACAGTCATAACTAAAATAATATAGGGCAAATTAACCACACCTCTCTTGAGGTGTAGCTAAATTACAAATTCCTCCCTAAGGTTTCAGAAATTACATTCCGCCCCTTGAGATTTATATTCGAATAACAATTTAACTCCTACCGTTAATTAAATGTTAAGAATGGTTAGTTGATATCAGCAAAATATAAATTGATAAACAATATTGTTATCCAAAAAGCAACCTAAGAGGGGGTGAATTAGGTTTCTAAAAATTAAAATTAATAATAACACAATAAAATTAACTACTAGTATAACAAATTATTAACAAGCACAATGATGAACTTAGCAGTAAATGATCAAGCAAAATAATAATGAAGTATAACTAATATACAGGGTAAATCAAATTATTAGAACATGAATATTAGATAGATATAGCAGTAATAGGAAAATAAAGAGATTAGGAAAGAGGAGACAAATAGATTTATAGTGGTTCGGCTTCAACCAAGCCTACATTCACTCCTCAAGCTTCACTTGAGATTTTCCACTATCTTCTAGCTTCACAGGATGCTAGCAACCTTTTCATAGATGGAGCAATCCTCCACAGATTTTACACAGACTTTCTAAGTCAAGAATACTGAGTGTACTACACTTTTACAAAGTTGAAAAGAAGGTATTTTTGCTTTCACAGAAAACTACAATAATTTTTTCTCAAAGATATATATAAAAATGAAACTCTGATTTTTCTATAAACCATACACAAGAAAGATGAGTTTAATGCTATAAGGTTCAGTGTATAATTTCTAAGAGAGGATGTAAACAAAAATTTAAAAACACTTCTTAGAGAATTTTTCAGAGAATAGATGTGAGTGATTATAGATCAAAGAATATTTCTGTTTTTTTTTTAAACTTGTTTACATTAGAGGCTTTGGTATATATAATGAAACTTATAGCCGTTGTATTCATTTGAATTTATAGTCGTTTATAGCCGTTGTATTCATTTGAATTTATAGTCGTTTATAGCCGTTGTACTTCAATCATTACCAATTTGAATATCTTCAACTTGAACCTTTTGAACTGCTGTTATGCTGAGCTGTTTGAACCTCTGTTTTGAGCTGTTTAAACTCTTGATTTAATCAAATATTAAATACATTCTAACAACATTTAGGATAAAGGTTTAGGTGAGAAATAATGGGACAATATAAATTTTGATTCTATTTTTCTTTTTCAAATAAATTAAAATATAATTAAATAAATCATCAAAATAAATTTTGGATTCTATTTTTCTCTTTCAAATAAATTAAAACATAATTAAATAAATCATCAAAATAAATAAGTTTGAGGAACATATATCTCCATGGTGAGTTTTTTTGTACATCTCATATTTCATATAGGAATGAAAAATAACAATAATGATTTGATTTGAAAGATCTAAACTGCCATTGGATTCTAGTGAGTGATCCATAACACCATGTTCTTCATTTTCCATCTCTTTTTCTGTGTTTTCACTCCTGTCAACTATCTTAACATCCTCATACGCCTGAATGGCCTATCAAAGTGGATCTTTATAAGATATCATATTTAGAAGAAAAAAAAATTCATAATTTAAAAAAAAATAAAAACTAATTTAATAAAAATAAATATAAAAAATATATTTAATTTGTAAAAATTATTTCTAACCGCTCAAAAGATAAAATTATACAAAAATAATATTTTTTTTTATTTTTTAACCAAATTAATTTTTAATTTTTAAAAAAAATTAAAAATAAATTTCTAAAAATCAAACCAAACATATTCTAAGAATTTTTTGACAAGTCATTTCTTGTGTTTTAACTTATTTAATTATTTGTTAATTTTATAATATTTTTACCATCTGACACTACAACATATAAGAGTTTTAGAGATCAATTTTTTTGATCTCTAAAAGTGAAAATTTTATTGCAAAAGACATTTAGGAACTAATTTCTATCGTCATGAGGATAGTTGCTAAAATGTCACTTTAAAAAGTCAAAAATAAGGTTTTTAGTGATAAAATTTCGAAAATGTCAATAATAAATTGACTTTTAGGGACAAAATAATTTGGTCTCAACATGGTTTATTTTTTGAAACAAAAAAATTGATACCAAAAAGATAATAATTAATCACTAATGTTCAATTTTCGTCGCTAAAAATATAATAACGATACTTTTTGCAACAAAAATATTTGGTCTTTTAAAAATAATTTTGTCCCTAAATTTTGGCCTCTAAAACCTTAATTTTTTATAGTATGATAAGTGTTTTTCCATTTTAATTTTGCATTTCATAACTTATTTAAAAATGATAATTTAGCTAAACCTCAAGGGAATCTGTAAATTAGTTAAATCTCAAGAGAGTGTAGGTAATTTGCCCTTATTTGTCAAAAGTGCATTTTCGTCAATTTATGATATCCGTTAATGGCGTTAATTGCGATGGGACAGGATGTAATTTTTGAAATCTTAGAGGAATCTATAATTTTGTTAAACCTCAAGGGAGGTGTAGATAATCTGTCCACATATATATATATATATAATAACTAAATATAATATGACATATAACTAAAAATCTCATGAGTCATTATTAAAATAATATCATAACTAAAAAATAAAATATCATAATTAAAAATACATATAATACATCCCTCTTGAATATTAAAATTTCCCAATATTTAATAATTTTCTTTGTATCCCCACCCCAAAAATAGAGGTGGTTGCTTCCAATCAAGTCCCTCACACTTTTGAATTGTTACCACAATAATCCTTCGTAGCTTGAGAAAAAGTTGGCCCGAGTGGCTCGAATACCCAAAACAACGTCGTTTTGGGTATTTTTTTATTATTTTTCTTTCTTTCTTTCCCTCTCTTATGTCGTTGAAACAGAGGAGGTAGAAAGAGAAGAGAGGAGAAAGAAGAGAAGAGAAAGAGAGAGAAGAGGGAGAGGGGAAGAGAGAGGAGCACCACTGGCACCGCCATCACTGACGCCATCACCAGCGCCGCCTGGGTATAGATTTGCATATAATGATGATGATGATGATGATGTGTTGTTGATGATGATGATAATGATGATGATGATGTGTTGATTTTGATTTTTGATTTTTGGATTGAATCTCTCTGATTTTTGGGTTTAATTTTTGGATTTTTGGGTTTGATTTTTGATCTTCAAAAAAACAAAGGATGAATCTCTCTGATTTGGTGTTGTTTATTGTTTTTTTTTTTTTATCAGCTTGGTGTTGTTTGTTGTTGATGTTGATGATTTGGTGTTGTTTTTTTGTATCAGAATGAATCTCTCACACAACTTCCTCTTTTCTCCTCCTCATTTTCCACATCCTCCTTCTTCTTTATCTGCAGAGAGAAAATGACCCCAAAAAAAAACTGCCCAAAACAACGTCGTTTTGGGCCGTCGAGCCACTCGGGCCAAACGAAATTCGAGCTACAAAACGGAACTGTTGTTACCAACCGCTCAAGATCTACCACGTTTTCAGACTACGAGGTCCTCGTTTGGGAACATGTTTTTTTAGTAATTTTTTAGATTTTTAGTTAAAATGTGATGTAAAAAAAATTAGTATATTTGGGATGACTTTTTGATTTGTTATGAAAAGATGTACAAAAAGTAGAGAGAAAAAATAAATCTTTAACTTTTGGGTATTGGTTGTTGGCTTTTTGATTTTTTTAGTAACTTTTTGGCTAAAAAATCCATTTGCCAAACGAGGCCCAGTATGGGTTGGTTTGGGGAGTGAATTGGTTTTTTGGTTATTGTGATTATTTTAGTTTGCGCTAAAAAGTTTCATTTGGAATTAATTTTTTTGGCTTTTTTTGACTTTTATGAGAGAAAAAATGAATTTATCTTATTAACTTTTTAACCTATTTTATTATTTGGTGACTATTTTAGGCCAAGATTGGGACGCCAAACGAAGACTATATAACATTTACTTTAATCAATAATTAACATATCACCCGTGCTATGCAAAAGATAAAATAATATATTATTTATTAAAAATATGATAATTATATTTAATTTTTTTATATTTTATCTCACATAAATAAAATTTTACATATAAGTTTACGGAATCTTTTACAAGTGTTCCTTTACTATAATATATAGTATAGATAGATTAAAATTATTGTATTGACAATTAATAATTAAAATTATGCTTTGTTATAAAACAAAATGACATAATTCTAATACTTCACTATTTTAAAATAAAAATATATGAATTTTAAAAAATTATCATATTGGTTTTTGAAAGGGAAATAATTGAAGAATTT